TTTATAATAAAACGTTTTAAATTATTGTGCTTTATTATTGTAGAAAAAAAAATTAATTTTAGAAAAACTAAAATTCATTAAAAGTATCAAAATGCTTTAGTAAGTTTGCGAAAAGAAAAAAAAAATAGTTGCGTATTTTCTTAAGCGATATAACGACAAAAGATTTATCTTGAACCGTTGCGAATTTGCTTTTTCTATAAAAGATTTATATTTTTCAGACAGTATTTTTTATCTTTTTTGAGAATCTGGTTAAAAAAAATAAATTTGGAAATGAGCTTTTTGAGTAATATCAATTTTAGTAAAATAATTTCAGTATTTATATAATTGAGCATATTACTACCATTTTGCAATGCTGTTTGCAGTTTAAGGATTTCATTTTTAATCTAAAATAGTTTTTATTTTATTTAGAAAATCAATTTTAGAAATAAATTTAAAGAAATCTTTGTTTTTTTAACTCAACTTCGATTATTACGGACTTTCACAGCGTGCGGTTTTAATATATGACTTTTTCATAGGGGATAAACGAACGAAATGGCCGTATTGTTAAGTTAATTATAAGAGATTTTTTGTTGTTTTAGATTTTGTAAATGACTTTGATTGTCAAAATTTGGGTGTTTTTTGTTGAAATAACTATTATTACAAAGGTATTAACAATATAAAGTGGTTTTATACGTCATATTTATGTTACAATAACGTTGGTACAAAAAAAAGTAGGTGGGTTTTAAATAATGTATTATTGAATAATAATTTGTTTTAGCTCAATCTTCTTAACTTCCATAAATTGGTCGAATGGATTAATTTTATGAAGATTAGAGTTCAGATATAGGTAACATCTTTAATCTATAATTTATATCAGTATTACAGTATGTTATTCATAAAGGTTTATGCAAAAAATGAAATATTGATTTCAAACAAATTAATCTGTTATTAATGATTATTAGTTATTAATTCTTTAATCATTAATCATATTAATGATTATTAGTTATTAATTCTTTAGTCATTCACGAACCAAAACCTTCTTAAAGGTATAAATAGAAATGATATACAATAAAGCTAGATATTGCTAACAACCCAAATCTTCAAGAAACTCCTCCTACTATTTCCTATCATCTCAAAGGTTTCTTAAAGAATAATTTTAAAATATTTATCTTAATATAATAGACAAAATAATGACAAAATAATTTAGTTTTAATATTTTCTTTATTATAAAAAAATAAACCATTAAACTAGACAAAAAAAAAAATGTAATGCAGAAAAATACTAGAAAAAAAAAAAAAAAAGAGTTAGTATATAAAAGTAAAAGTTCTCCCAAAATTTAATAATTAATTATTATTAAAAGTGAAAAGTAAATTTTTATCAACAAAGTTATTAAAACCTTATACATTAATCAATAATAATCCGTTATATTGAAAATACCTTTTATCTAACTGCAATGTTTTATTTGATATTACTAGTCCATATTTACAATTTTGTATTAAGATTGTAAAGGCACCGGTAATTGAGCTATAGTTAAATAACTAAATTATTTTATTTTTAATAACTTGTATTCATGCATTGGTTGTTATGGCTCATGTTTTACCAGTTTCCAAATGCATAATTAATATTTTTTGTTGCATGGATATTATTTTGTGCCATTGTTTAACAATGTTGTACTTCAACCAGATTATCTTATTTATCGAAAAAAAATTCGAAAATATTTGTCAAGAATGGACATCGTTTATCTTAAATGACTATACACTGTGCACAATTTCAAAAAGTTTAACATAATTTCAAACTGCAAATTTTAATTTCAGCCCTCTTGAGTTTCCTCACTATAATAGTACACAAACTGAATAAGTATTATGGTATTTGATGCATAATGATATTTCAGCACATGGAAGTTGTATATTTTCAGCAATATTTACCTATCCATATTATTTATTACCAGATAGTGAAAACTAGTGTGGTGCATTAAGCTTTTGAATTTTTTCCAGGATACGCACAACAAGAATTTTGAAAGTTTTTTATAAATAACAACAATAAAAGGACATATCAACATTTTTTGAAACCAATTACTCAAAAATAATATTATTGAAACCAGCAATTCAAAATAAAATACTGGTGGAATTATTTTTAATTAAAACTACAGCAGGAAGAATTTTTCTCAATAAGATTTTTATAACTAACAAGCAACGTGAACATCAGGTGAACTAAAATCCGTTTTAAAAGTCGCAGTTTTTCTGGGTGTCCTAAACTGCTTTTTCTTATAATCAAAGTTTAATTTTTAAAAATAGATGAAGTGATAAAATGATACATTGAGTCTTCTTTGATTAAAGAGATAGTTGAAGGCGGGATGCTTGTAGAATTCAAAAAAACTTTGACTACAAAACGTCATTATGCCTTTTATTTGGTTTTTATGCACGGAAAGAATACTGTTTAAATTTATATATTCTGATCCGCAACTCGCAAAAGGTGCAACTTGTTGCTAAAAATCATTTTATAAAATTGTTTTTTATTTAAAATTATCAATTGTAACTTCCTAATTGAAAAAAACATTCTCTTAACTGAGATTGATTTTGTTAATGTACATTTATCCCCTATAAAAATGGCGTCGAAATCTCATGTGCCGAAACTACCCCTTATGAAAGTCCCTAATTAATATAAGTTTAATGTAAACAAAAAAAGTAAAAAATTATATATGAAAGATTAATCATCCAAAACGGGATAAAATTCAGTTTTAGTGTAAGTAAACAGAAATTTAGAACTAGAAAAGCTGCTGATACATATGGCATATTAAAATTTGCTCTACATTGGTATTTACTAATAAGCCAGCTTATCAAAAATGTTGCAGATCAGTTTCAGGATATTTTTTGTGTGACTTATGCGATCCTTAAAAATTTTTGTTTAACTTCAAAATAAGTAGCAATTACCAATTTAATAATATATAGGTTAAAGTATAGCGGGGTATTTTATAATAAAACATACTAAAAAATATTTTTATTTCTTTTTTGTGTGTTTATTATTTTTTTGTGGTGTATGGGTGTATGGGCAAGTTTTCATGGGTATGTTTATATATATATAACATATATATATATGGGCAAGTTTTCATGGGTATGTATATATATATATATATATATATATATATATATATATATATATATATATATATATATATACATATATATATATATATATATATATATATATATATATATATATATATATATATATATATATATATATATATACATATATATATATATATTATATATATATATATATATATATATATATATATATATATATATATATATATATATATATATATATATATATATATATATATATATATATATATATATATATATATATATATATATATATATATATATATATAGATAACATACAAATGTGTATCTACATTTTAACAACATATCTATTAAAAGAAAATATTATCTAAATAAGGATGAGTTCAAACAAAGATAGTTTATCTATGAAAGAACAAAAAGCATACAAAAGATGTAAACAGACTATATGTGCATAAGGGTGTATAGGTGTAATGTGTAAGTCTGTGCTGTTTATGTCGTTCAGTAGAGTCTTGTATTGTTAGTAACCAGCGTAAAAGATTTGTCTCTGAACTAAACCAAGCCAGCCCAGCCATACTCCAGAAAACCATGATGGATTAAACACCTATGCATGGATTTATAACTGACTTATGACTAAAAAGCTAGCCCAGGCATCTTCCACAGACAAAAATCATATAGTAATGTGAACCTTTAGTTGCTTATAATTAATATCTGGACTCAAAAACTAGTTACTTTTAATGGAACACAATAGGCTGTAGGAGCCTCAGGGAAATTATATTCAGAAATGATTGTATTAGACTCAGAGTTAGCTAAAAATTATTACAAAGTGTTTAGGACAGATGTCTAGCACAAAAAGCACAAGATTTAAAGCAAAATGATTTATATTATTTGAAAAAGTTGTTTTACGTACATTTCATCATAATTTAAGTAGAACTTATTAAAGCAAGGGAAACGTGTAGAATTAAGCACAATGAACTCAATCTTAAAAGAATAACTAAATGAAGAGAGGTTGTCACTATTATGAAGGTGACGAAAGATCTGTAATATAGAACATGGAGGTCAAAAAATGCTATCTTAAGTAAAAAGAGTTTGATGAACAAAAGTTACAATGGCTGCGGGATGCGAACCCGGATCTCTGCAGCAAATTATCACGTATCTAACTGACTGAACTATACGATCTTATACTTAAATTTATATCTTATTAAAATTAAAAACTATTTTCTAAGATCTATACTTCGAAAAGCGTATTCAAACAGGACTCTACATACCTTTAAAATCTGCTAGAACTTTAGTAACGTGCACACTTTTAGAAATTATTGAAATAAGTTTATTTTATCAGAAATATGCTTAAGCTAAAGCATATTTTTGAGCCTCTTTTTACTATTTGCTTAAGCATATTCGAACCTGTTTAAAAAATTTCATATGCTTTAAAAAAAAACATGTATATTTCTACCCATCATTCTTATTTTTAATATACGTAATGAATCGTTATATATATGAATTGTTATATATATTTATTATGGCACGTTTCGTAAGTTTATTTCCGTTAAGAATTCTTTCGTATGTTGTGATCCGAAATACTTTCGTTTCGAAAGAAATTTTATTTTTTATCAATATTTCTAAAAATAAAACCATAAAAATTTGATATGTTATTATACTGAAAATAAAAATTCATTATAAACATTTTGGGATTTAAAGATGTTAATTTTTACAATTAAAATCAGTCTGGCAAACAAATTTTCTTTATAGACTTCAAAACGTCGTTTGGCGAAAATGTTTGTTTCGCAAGTGCGACTTCCGAAACCGCTACTTTCGTATGTTGCAAAATAGTTTTGTTTCGTATGTCAACTTGCGAAATGCTAAATTTCGGAAGTGGCTTTTGCGAAATGAATCCTCCGGTTAACAACCGTTTAATGACACATGAAAATAAGTTCAACTATGCTTTAAATCATTAAAATCATTGAAGCAGATAAACATAATTTCAGAACTTTTGATAAATTAAAAAACCAAATTTTTGATTTACTAATAAAGTTAACGAAGAGAAGTTCAAGCTAAAACCTGAATCATCAAACCAAAGGTAAGGTTTTTGAAAATTAACGTAACCATAAAACCACACAAAAAAAGGTAGAAAAATAACTATAAAAAGTAAAAAAATAACTACATAAAAATAGAAATACTATATTCATTGTTTACATGTTATATCTAACACATTGTTTACATGTTATATCTATAGGCCTTTAAAAATGTTTTGCCTTGTATTCCAGAAAATTGGAAAAGATTAAAAAAAAAAAAAAAAAAGCATAAACAAAAGGATTTACCCCATGCCAAGTACTTCAAACACTTTGGAATGCTATATCATCTTTTAACACTGTTTAATAAACAAAAACGTTATTATTTATTAAACTTTATAAAACTAAACTAAATAAATCCAATAAATCGATTTTAAGAAGATATTGCCGCAATAAAATATTTAAGTAATTTTTATCTGTATAATTTGATATAATATTGAATAACATACTTAACTTGAAGCTTACATGCTCCAGGGTGTCTGCTAATATTTTAAGACAAAAGAGCCATTTTCCTGATTTTTCCAAAATTTAAATTTGTTTTTCTGACAACGAAATAATTTAATTTTATATGAAATTTTATGAAATTTTAGAGATTTCTCTACCGATTATCTAATTTTTTTTGCAGATTTCTGAATTCCCTGATCTGGCAGATATTTGCATAAACTTTCGTTCAAATAGATAAAATACTAACCATTACAGATTGTGGTTTAAAAAAAAATGCCTGATAGCTTTTTAAAAGTAAAGTTATTTTTCTTTACAAATTTATTAATAAATTAACAAAACATAACAGTTACAATAGTTTTAAATTGCATGTCTATATTGAACAAACGCATCATCTGATTAATCTAAAAAAAGTAACCGAATTAAAAAAATACATCACAACTGTTTAATGGAAATCATTTTATTTATTGATATTAACAAAACAAATTATATATAGAAAAGTATATGTTTACATAAAAAATTAAACTTAATTTGCATAATCAATCAACAATGGTAATGTTAACCAACTACATAAATACTAATTAGAGATGCAGCATTTTTTTATCCACGAATTTCTCTCTCCTAGTACTTTACTTTTTATAAGATCCACTCTCTATAAAAAGTATATTTATATATAAAGGAGGGGGGGGGGGGGGTTTCCGTAAAGTTAAGCTCACGCCTTATGTGATGTGTGCCTTCTATTTGCAAAATGCTGAAAAAGCATTAGAAGATGTCTAAAATGAAAAAAAATTATATAAAAAAAGTGACGAGATAAAAGAAGTAAAACTATTAAAGACACTGCAAACCAATTTATCTGTTGCTGATGTTTTTTCCTTTTGTAAATATTATGAAAAAGCGTTTCCAGTTAAAACTGTTGTTATAAACAAAAAGTCACTTCTTATTCCTTGGATGTCTAAAGGTTTAATCAAATCATCAAGAAAAAAACAAAAACTCTACGACAAATTCCTAAAAAATAAAACTTATAAAAATGAAATAACTTATAAAAATTATAAAAACTTGTTTGAAAAAACAAAACAATACTCAAAAAAGCTTTATTATTCAAATTTGATAAAAAAAAAACCATGGCAATGCTAAGAAAACATGGAATTCGATTAAATAGATAATCGGTAATAACAACTGTACAAAAAGCAATCTCCCGAAAAAACTTTTAATTGATGGTAAATTAGTCAGTGATAAGATAATAATAGCTGAATATCTAAATAGCTTTTTTCTTAATGTGGGTCACAATTTAGCAGCAGAAATTCCGTCGAGTTCTGCAACATTTCATTCTTACTTGATTAAGAACCTTACCACAGAAAAGATTATGAAAGAAACACATCTAGATTCTAATGAACTGCGATCCGCTTTAAACAATCTAAAAAACAACAAAAGTGCGGGCTTTGATAATAACAGCTTTGTCGTAAAATCAGTATTTGATATCATTGAACCATCATTGCACCACATCTTTGATCTTTCGCTAAAATCAGGCATTGTCCCGGATAAACTAAAAATTGCTCGAGTCACCCCTATTTTTAAATCTGGAGATGATTTTGATACTAATAATTATAGACCTATATCAGTTTTACCATGTTTTTCCAAATTACTAGAACGCGTCATGTATAATAGACTTTACAATTATTTGACGGAAAACAATTTTTTATACGGTAAACAATTTGGATTTAAAAAAAACCACTCAACCGACCATGCTATAATTGAGCTAGTTAATCAAATATCTAATGCTTTTAGTAATGATTGCTTTACGCTAGGAGTTTTTATTGATCTTTCTAAAGCTTTTGATACCGTAAATCACGACATTCTTCTAAAAAAACTCGAAGTGTATGGAGTAAAAATTAATAACTTACTTTGGTTTAAAGATTATTTATCAAACCGAAAGCAATATATTCAGCATGAAACAACAAAAACAACAAATAGCGCCATAACTTGCGGGGTTCCCCAAGGCTCGATCTTGGTACCATTATTATTTTTACTCTATATAAATGATTTATATTCAACATCAAACTTATTAAATTTAATCTTGTTTGCGGATGACTCCAGTTTGTTTTATTCGCATAGAGACATTAGGACACTTTTTAACATAGTTAACAAAGAATTACATAAAATAAATGAGTGGTTTAGGTGTAACAAACTCTCTTTGAATGTCAAAAAAACCAAGTTCATCCTATTTCATAAACCAAATAAAAACGAAAATATTCCTCTTAAACTACCTAATCTTAAAATAAATAATACTAATATAAAAAGAGAAAATTTTATAGACTTTTTAGGTGAGGTCTTGGATGAAAATTTGTCGTGGAAGCTCCATATAAACACTTTAGAGAGAAAGCTCTCAAGAAATATTTCATTAATGTATAAAGCAAAACCTTTCCTAAATATCATTTCATTAAGAAGTTTATACTTTTCATTAATACATAGTCATCTAAGCTATAGTAACATGGCCTGGGCAAGCACAAACTGTACTAAGCTTAAAAAACTCTACAGTAAACAAAAACATGCCTGTAGAATTGTCTTCGGAGTAAGTAAAAAAGCGTCTGGTGAACCTCTCTTATGCAAACTTGGAGCATTGAATATATACAAAATTAACATACATCTTGTTTTACAGTTTATGTACAAAATAAAAAATGGACTCTCCGCCGATATTTCAACCCTATTTTAGCGAAATAAGTCATAAATACCCTACTAGATTCTCATATAACAACTTTGTCATCCCAAAATTTTTATTAAAGTTAAATTCATACTCAATCCAACACCGCGGACCTTATTTGTGGAAAAATTTTCCCCAGATTGTTTCTATCAAAAGAAATACACTTGAACAGTTCAAATCTGAATCAAAGCGTTTTTTATTATCTACGGACTTAAATTTTCTTTTTCTTTTTTAGTATAAAATAAACTAGCACAATTTATTTCTTTTATTTGTTTTAACTTTTACTTGTTCTAAATTTATTTTACTAAACGAATTTATATATAAACAGTGATATCAATTGTAAAACGTAGTTTTTCACATTTTTACATATTTTATCACAAACAATTTATCACGATTTTATATATTTTGTTGTAAAAAACGACCTGTAATGAAGTCACTATGGGGCTCGGTGATAAAACAAACTGATGTCTTCTTCTTGCTCCAGCCATTTGTTTTATTATTTATGTTATTTTATAAATTGTAACTTTCTACGGCAAAAAATTGAAAAATAAAATAAAATAAATAAAAAATAAAATAAGCATTGTTAACAATAATCAAAGTCTGTAAGTAAAAAAAAAAATAATTTTATTTATAAAAACATATAGTGCTAAGACAAAATAGGTATGACACAAAGTAACAAAACATAATAGCTATTGGTGCAAACAATTATTTTAATAATAAATTCAAGAAGAAAATAAAATTATTTTTACCTTAATTGCAAGCAACTAATTTATTTTCAAACTATTAGCTAATGATCAACATAGTAAGTTTAAAATAATCCAAGTTTACTAAGTTAAAACCATATTTCAACAGAAGACAATGTAAACATATGATAGTCGGTAGAGCACCAAAGTAGAACTAAAGAAATGGAATAACAACTAAATTTAAAATGTTTTTAATACATAATATTTGCAGTAAAACAAAAAAAAAATAACTCTACTATCACGAGATAATAAAGATAAAGTAATAAAAATTAACAAAAAAAAAAAAAATAATTTAGTAAAATGTTATATATATATATATATAATATATATATATATATATATATATATATATATATATATATATATATATATATATATATATATATATATATATATATATATATATATATATATATATATATATTAAATATCTTCGCATCCAACAAGGCTGCAAGCAACCACTATTAGAGTTGGAAGTTACTGGAAGAAAAAAGATGAAGATTTAGAGCATTAGACCATTATCTTAATGGTTGACAGTCGACTTAAAAGATTTTATGAATCAGGAAAGCAGGATGAAGGAAGCGAATTCCAAACAACTGATGTTCGAGCAAAAAATCTAAAGGAATAAGAATTTTTGGAATATTTAGGAAGTCACAGAAGAAGGATGAGACTTAATTGAATGACAAGTAAAACAAGAACAAATTTTAGTAGATGGCACAAGAGACACTATCTCTTTAGAGCAGTACCCATTATAGTATTTGTAGAAAAGAGAAAGAGAAGCAACATAACGACAATGTGATAATGGTTGGAGGTTAGCTGCAAGAGCACGTCCAACTATGTCTAAAATGCGTTTTTTCACCTTGTCTTAAGGAGAAAAGGTATCATAAGAAGATCCGCCCCAGATATAGCAACAGTATTCCATACACTGCCGGATTTGAGATTCATAGAGATAAAAAATGAAAAAAAAAGTGTCCAGCTCGATAAAGAGATTCAATCTTAGCAGATGCTAATTTTGCAAAGAATTGGACATATGTTTTCCAAAAAAGATCAGTAGTAAGAGTTATTTAATGAAGATGAAGGGTAGATAAATGATTGAGTACATTACCGTTCATAAATATTCGAAGGC